TATATATATATATATATATATATATATATATATATATATATATATATATATATATATATATATATATATATATATATATATATATATAGATATATATATATAGATATATATATAGATATATATATAGATATATATATATATAGCAGGATTATTGTATAGAGTAATTGCACAGGGTGTTTACATGGGTATTTATATAGGTGGATATTTATATTCATATATTTATTGCACTGGGTGTCAAATATAGAGAAACAGGTTATTGCACAGGGTATCAGTAGTAATTGCATATTACACATTGCACCAGTTATTGCCGTTGGAGTGTCGCATTGTAGAGTCTGGTTGCAGCAGGGATGAGTTTACAGAACACAATCTAGAGGAAAAAAAGCATAATCACTGATTGGAAGGTGCTTAGATAAAAAATTATTGTCGATGTCAAATGGAAATAGAGGAAAATAGGCAGAACTTGTTGAATAAGATCGGCCACTGAGGCAGAAGACCACATAGGGTCACTATTGTCAGCCAAGAGCAGGGAACAGGCTAAAACTCAAGCAGACTCAGCAAAACTTCACTGTTCTAGCTGCAGATTCAGTGAAAGTGTTGGGTTTGTGGAGTGTTTTGTTCTTCTGTGTGTTTTTATTTCCCCGATTTTAATTAAAACATTTGGTATCTTTCCAGTATCTTTTCCAGTTTACTTCACCTGATATTCTTCAGATGAAGGATACATAGTGTATGGACCAGCAGAAGCCTTAAAAACAACAATGTGGATGGCAAAATGAATGCTTTAAATGTGGAGCATTTAAAAAAATTAAAGGGGGAAATTAGCTGCAGCAGAAGCAATACATTACTTTCTCAACCTGTTTAAGAAGAACGTGTAACAGTAGGGTCAGGATTTGCTTTTAACAAGCATTGATTCTTTCTGGCTGTGGTGGAATAATAATAATATGGAAGATTTGATTGGCTTTGGAACACCTTGCAAAACTTAGTTCCAACAGCAAAGCATATTTTTGTGATGTAGCTGATCATTATCCATCTCTCCAATTGACTTATTAGCCACTATATCAGTCCAGTTAAGCACTTTCTGGGAGAAATATGTCATCCTATTATAGAATAGAATAAAATAGAATAGACTTAAACAGATTTATTCGTCATTTTGTTGACACAAGTGTAAAGTTTCATTTTTTTTAAAGTGCAGCCTTGAAAAATAGTAAAAAAAATCTATAAAAACTGTAATATAAACATCCATCCATTTTCTTTACACACTTGTCCCAAGTGGGGTTGCGAGGGGTGCTGGTGCCTATCTCCAGCAGTCAATGGGCGAGAGGCAGGGTACACCCTGGACAGGTCGCCAGTCCATCGCCAGGCAACACAGAGACACACAAGACAAACAACCATTC